GGGAGGGCTCCGCTGGCGGGCAGGAAGGGGAAAAGGGCAGGCGGCCGGGCGCCAAGCCAGGCCCGGAGCTGCGGTGCGGGCGGCGGGGGTCGCCGGTCCGGAGATCGCTGGGGCCGAGGGTCGGCCCCGGCCCGGCCTATGCGGGGTCCCAGAACTCGGCCGCGTGGAGAGATTAAGATTACTTGCGGATAACGTGAGGGCGGGGAGGGGCGGCTGGGGTCGCAGGACCCAGGCACCGTGTGCGCCCTTGGGGCCCCTCCAACAGCCGGGCTCTGCCTCTGGGTTCCGGAGACGCCGCCCGCGCCCCTCCCCTTCCCGTACTCCGCCCCCCCACCCCCCCTCCCCCGACCCTGCAGCGCCAGTTTCCCCGCGCGTCTGGGAGCCTGTGAGGGCGGCGGCCAGGGTCTCCGAGATGAATGAGAGAATGAATGGTTGGCCCACGGCCTTGTTCAACTCCCGGCACGCTCTGGGCCCTGTGATTCATTCATTCGTACAGGCATCCACGAGGGGTTACTGAGCCCCTACTGTGTGCCGAGCTGGGTGTACGCCCCCGCGGGAGCACTCTCCTGGGAGAGACTGACAAGGAAACCGGCGATTAGAGCGTGATGCGATAAGGAGGGGGCTATGTGTTGGGGGAGGCAGGAAGGGGTTCTGGAGGAGGTGATACCTGAGCTGAGTCTTCAAGAATGACTAAGAGTCAGTCAGGTCGGGAGAAGGAGGGTGCGCCGGACCAAGGAAGGTGCAGGTGCAAAGGCAAGAACCTTAGGGAGAGAGTCACGTGTGACAGGGGTGGGAGCAGTTCCTTCTGGCTGTGTGTGGTGCTGAGGGAGGCATGGGGAGAGAAGGGACTGGAGCGGGCCACCCCTGGGATCACACAAGAACACAGGCGCACTGGGCGTAAACTGAGGACAGAGTCTATATGCAGGCACCTGGCAAGAAGCATTGGGTGTGAAGAATGGGTGTGGCACACGGAAGGGTGCCCTATAAACTTACACTCTATTAACATAAGATGTTAATTGATCAGATATGCACTTGTAAATACCACAGGCTGTTGTGGGAAAATGGATTGGAGGGAGGAAGGCAAGGAGGGCAGTTTGGAGGTTGCTGCCTGATCCAGGAGCAGAAGAGTGAAGGGGGAGCAGAGAGAAGGTTTTAGCAGGTGGTGACTTCCTGGTGTGAGAAATGGAGAGAGGGGAACAGGCTTTTTGATCCCAGATGGTGATGGCTATCTGGAGGTGCCTCCCCACTTTCAGGATACTGAACAAGGAGGAGAGGTCAGGGGGCAAGGTGCTCTGTCTACTTCTGCTGGGCCCCCAAGCAGAGGTGTCTGGCAGGCCTAAGGCTCTAGAGCTAGAGTGTATGGCCCTTGACTGGGGCCCTGGTAGAGAGCCCTTTAGTCTCCACCTTTCACCTCCACTGCCCCTCACAACAGTTCCCTAGAGTCTGGAACAGTCCTTGGTGGGACAGCCTGGGCCCAGACCTAAGATATGTTTGATAAATATGAATTGAGCATCTGTTCTGTGCCCAGTACTTCCCTGAGATAGGCGATGGTTCTTTCTGCTTCCCCAATAGGCCATGAGGCTGCCTCCGTAGAAATCAGCTTTTAGCAGAAGTCTGGGGGTCCTCAGAACACCCTCTCCAG